TAATAATTAGGGATAAGGGGAATAGTTATTTCCTCTTTAGGGGTAACTTTAATAGGTCCTATAAGTTTCTAAATAGAAGGGAAATTAGTAATAATATAGTTTATATATATAATAAAAGTATTATTATAATTAAAAATAGTTACTCCTTTTAGTATATACTTTTTTTTATATTTTTTATTTTATTTAATACTAATCTTCTAATTTTTATTAAAGTAGTTCTTAAAGATATTTTTATCTCTAGGTAATAGTTTATTTACTAGAGAAATTTCTAAGAAATTATCTAAAGTGTTTTTAGAAGTATAGTTTATAGTATCCCTTAGTTTTATATCTAAGAATACTACTATTAAGGCCTCTAGCTGTTCACAGTGATTTTTACCTGCTTAGAGCGATAGACCTCCTAACTCCACACCTCCTAATAATATATATAGCCTTCGGTCACATGATCGTAGTCTCCAACTACCTCTCCTAACTATAGCTACACTTATATATATATATAACCTCATAATCTTTAACTTCACTTTGATAACGATATAGTTTGTGATTACTTAATTACTTAATTACTATAGACTACTGAACTATTAACTTATCCTCTCTCTCGCGTATTACCTACGCTACTGTTAAATACTATCTCTATCACTACTTCGCTATTTACTATTCTTCTTATTCGATTAGGCTAGCTAACGCCTTTATAGCTATACTATTATTAGTAACGCTCTCTCTATTCGGCGTAAGGTGTACTCACTAATCTCTACGCGAGGCCTATATCCTCTTTAGTACCCTTAAGTACTTTAGAGAAGAAGTCCTACTTATTAGGGTAACTAAAAATATAGTTAAACTCTATATTAATATTATCTAAGGCTTTCTTAGTAAGAGGGATAACGTTACTACCTATAGGGGCTTTTAGGAAGCTTATTAATAAAGCTATTAGGATTATATACTTTTAGTCTTCTTTAGATTATTCTTTAAATAGAAGCTTCTTATTAAGTATATTAAGGTTAAAGTTATTCTAGATATATTACGCGTTATTTATAGAGATAAAGGTACTACTTAGCTTATACTTAGCGAACTTAAGTACTTTATATAATATAGATATTATAAAGATACTTTAGGATTTATTATAAGCTATAAGGATAGGTTATTAATATAGGTTTAAGGGTGAGGAAGAGGAAGAAGGAAGGGTATAAAGCCCTACTTATAGTAGAGTTTTTATACTTTTAGCTATAAGGACCTCTTATAACAACCTCTTTAGTTAAGGAGTTATCTCTCTTATAGTAGTGTTTATAGCACCTCGCTAGAAGGTTTAGTGAAGCTATCACTAGGCTATAAGAGCCTTAGTAACCTATTTAGCCCTAATATGATTAGCCCTACTATATATAGCGCTACTGCTACTAGCTTTACGCTATATAGCTAGCGCTATTACTATTCTACTAGTCTATTCAGCTAGGGTGTATATTTAACTTTATGATATTTAGAGGGTTTACCTACTAGTAGGAATATATAGGGTTTCTATACTGTTTTCCTTAACTAGTAGAGGGTATAGGTTAAAGTGCCTATATAGTGTTTCTAGAATTATGCCTACGTATAGGGTGAATTTTGCTATAGTCTTTTTATAGGGGGGCTGCGTTATAACTATAAACTTAATACTACTATTAATATAGTAATATCTCCTTCTAATAGTTAGAAGGTTTTTAGTTATTAGTTTTACTAAATTCTTATTATTTTTAAGGAGTAATTAGTAATAAGAACTAGGGAATTTTAATTTATTATAGTATTTATTATATTATTATACTTAAGTTAAAATAGGAGTAATTTTATTTTAAACTTTATACTATATAAATAGGGATTAGTACTCCTAAGTAGGGTAGAATTATTATATTTATATTTACTTAAGTAGTATAGTTCCTTAGTAAATATTTAGTAAAGATAATAATAGGAATTTTAAGATTATTATATATACTTATATAGATTATTCCTTATAAGTTTAGAATATTAAGTTTATTATAAATATTAAATTCTTAGCTAATTAGTATACTTATACTTAAGTATTTAATAACTTATCCTTCTAAGTAAAGGATAATAGTTACTAGAGTATTATTCTATATTTCTTAAATATATAAGTTAAAACTAACCTAGCTAAGTATTTAAACTTATTTTATACTAAAGAGCTTCTTCTTTTTACTTTTATTAATAGTATACCTTAGGATTAAGAGAAGAATATCCTCTTAGATAATATATTATAAAGTTTTAGTATTAATATAAGCTTTTATTTATAAACTATTTAAACTTAAATTAGTTTAGATTTTTATATAAGTAGTATTATATAGGATATTATAGGGGTTTTAAGTATTTTATAGCTTATTTTCTAAAGGTTATTATTATTATATTTTAGTAGGTTAAATAGTGATTATATTACTACTACTTTTTCTTATTTATAAGAAGGAAGTAGTTATAATAGTAACTAGATAGGAAAAAAGTATTATTATATTTAGGGATATATTAATAGTTATTCTCTACTAAATTATTATTAATAAAGTTTACTTTCTCCTCTAGTTTAGTTTCCTCTTTATTAGAGGTATTATTATTTAAGCTAGTATCCTTAAAGTTAGCTAGTAAATTAAAATAGTATATATATATTATATAATATCTTTATTCCTCTATTTCCTTTATAATTATAGTATTAATAGTTTTATTATAATTCTAAATATATATATCTTATATAGTATTTATACTATCCTTTTTATATTAATATATTAACTTTTTCTAGAAGTTTAGCTAGTTAGATTTATTTTAGGGGTAGTTAGAATTATTTTAAGGGTAGTTATAAGGCTTTTCTTTATTATTCTTTTAGTTTTCTTTAAATTAGGGAATTAGATAACTAACTTAATTAGTAAATTTCTTCTTAATATAGGTTAAGTTAGAGGGGTTTTAAACTTTATTCTATAAGTATTAGGATTTCTTAGTAGAAAGTAAGGCTATAAAGTTCTTAATTAGCTTTATTAAGGATTTCTATTTTCTTTAAGTAATATTTCTTTTCTAACCTTTCTAGTAATTTATAAGTTCTTAGAACTAAAGGTTTTAGTCTTCTTAGCTAGTTAATTAAAGTTATCTAGTAATTAGATTAGAGTTAATTTAATTATAAACTAGCTTAAATATCTAAGACTTTAGATAATTATAGGTATATACTAATTAGCTAATTTTAGCTATAAAATATCTAAGATCTTTATAATCTTTTATATTTTCTAAGGTGTACTAAAAGTGATTTAAGTAAGTATATATAATAATATAAGGTATATAAAAACGTTTTAATAACTATTTTATTTATAAATTTAGTTTATTATAAGGGTTATATAATAATATTTATTATTCTAGAGATAAATCTCTAGTAAATTAGTTTTATACTATATTTAATAAATAGAAATATAGGTTAGTAGTAGTAGTAATAGTATATTATAAAGACTAAAGAGTATATTATTTAAATAAATTAATAAACTACTTAATATTTATCTAAATAGTTTTAATACCTTCTAGTTAACTATACTTAAGGTTATTATATTTTAATATTAACTTAAACTATCTAATTTTTTCTATATAAAATTAAATATTACTTTAGAAAACCTTTTTAGCTTTATTACTTTTAGTACTACTATTATTACTAAATAGTTCTAACTTTAGTAGTCTTTTCTATAGTATCTTATTTATTTTAATAGAAGAAGCCTAACTAGTTTCTTAATACTTATTTTATAGTATTTTAGTTAGAAACTTTAAATACTATATATAGTAAATTATAAGGAAATCTTAGTTAGTATTAGAGATTTTATATTATAGTTTTATAAGTAGTTTAGAGTAAGATATATTACTTAGTAGTAGTATACTAACTAGGTATAAACTTCTTATTAGAGGTTTACTTATTAAGGGATAAAATACCTTAGCTACCCCTTATATTCTTAAGATTTTAATAGTAGTATATAGTTCTCCTTAAGTTATTAAAGTTTTTAGTAGATCTACTAAAATTAAAGTAACTAATTTTTAAGTATTCTAACTTTTTTATAATAAGAGTAAGTTTAAAAGTTATTTAGTTAGAGCTTTACTATTACTTACTTTTATATTATTATATTATTAAAGTAGTAGTTCTTTTTTAAGGTAGTTAAAAATAATTATTTAATAATACTTTTCCCTATTTAGCTAAGTGAAGATATTTTTCTTAAATTAATTTAAATAAGTTAAATAAGTTTTAGTATTCTTCTTAGCCTCCTCTATAATTAAGTATTAATTTCTCTTTATATTAAAAGTAGATTTTATTATTAATAGAAATTAATTAATAAGAAAAGTAAGTATAATAAGAAAGTAGAGCTAATTATAATAAATTTAATAATTATAAAGGAATTTAGTAGTACTAAAAGGGTTTAAAGATATAAATAGTTTTTTAAGATCTTAAAGAATATCTTATAGTTCCTTTAAGTCTATAAATATAATAATTATAATATATTCTTAGTAGAGTTATTAGTTTATTATTTATCCTAATAAGATTAAAAAGAGTTAATATTTTATTAGTTTTTCTTTCTATTAATCTAAATAGTATTACTACTCTATTAACTAGAAATTAGTTATACTACTAATTATTATATATAGGTATAAGTAAAAAGATATAATATTATAATACCTCTTCTAAAGGATTCTTAGGAGATTTCTCTAAGGAATACTCTAAGTATTTCTTAGAGAAATCTTAGGGAAATTTCTAGGAAATCTCTTAGGATTCTATATATAGTTTCCTAGGGAAATCCTAGGGAAATCCTAGGGAAATCCTAGGGAATTCTGCACTTAATCCCCTCTAGGAAATCACAGAGAAATCCTGAACTATAGTATAATAAGGCGATTAACTAGAAGACGCTTAATTTAAGGAGTAGGAATAGTATATAGTAGATTTATAGATATATAGGCTTACTTTATATGATATATACCTTAGGGAGCGATCTGAGTATAGCTCTGACGTCAAAAAATAGAACAATAATAATAACAACAACTTTAATGACCCTATAACGTTTCCAAAAGACCCTAAGGAACGGTGGGTGTCTTTACCCGATCACGTTTCAGCACTTGGTTGTGTTACGAGCGAATTTCATAATGCTAATCTGGTGCCAGAGAGAATCTACTTGAACTCCCAGGGAACAGAAAGGTTTTCCTTGCCCAGCCAGCTGTTGTGACCGATGTCGGTGACAATATACAGCACTACACACTCGACTGTCATGGTTTCCAGTTCGTCAATCATACGACCAAATGCAGCAAAGAGATATTTCTCGACGAAGCAATAATCAAGGCTAGGTACTATCCAGAGGTTGAGCAACTGATTAAAGACCTGTAAGTCGGTTGTGACTCATCTACGACAATGAGATGGCAAGTTTGAAACGGGAGCTGATAGATGCAGCACCGGGGCCTCATTTGTTCACGTTTTCGATTATGCCGCCAGGGGTCCATTAAATCGTGGTGACAGTGACCCAAACATCAACAGGCCAGTCAAGTCAGTCCACTGCGATCAATCCTACGAAGGCGCAAAGCGGGTCGTCATGTCACGGTTTCCAGACAAAGCGTTTGCCGACGAAGTTGTAGAAAATCGAAGGTTCCAAATCATGAACGTGCGTTTCATCCATCGGCGTAACCGTTTGAGAATGTTGACAAAGTTACGCTCAGATCTGGCGCCCTTTAGAACCAATCTATCCAGACCCATTCGCGGTAACCGACGCTCGATCAATACCAGATTCCGACTTGGTTGCCCTCCCTGTAATCGCCGGAGATTATACTGAAGAAAGCTGGGCTGCAGAGCCTAATCCTGCTCATCGATGGTACTTCAAGTTCGGTCAGAAGCCAGATGAAGTCTTGATATTCAAATGCTTTGACTCTAGTAAGAATAAGGATGTCGCCCGTAGAGTACTTCACGCTGCGTTTACGGATAGGGCTCAAGAGCATATGCCCCCACGAGAAAGCTTTGAGGTCAGAGCTGTTGTGGTTTACGGTGAATAGCTCTTCAAATCAGATTCATAGTCCCGATATCTCTCATGTAGCCGTTTGTTTCTAAAGGACACGAGGTCTGATTACACAAGTAGGCGCTGTGTACTTGTACCAAACCGTCAAGGTCAAAAGCTGGTAGCAGGGGCAGAGCAGGCGTAAATACGGCTCTGGCTTCACAAAGCAAGCTGCGTATGTTTCAATTCCTTCGTGGACTCTGCAGACGATGCCCTCACGGCTTTGCTAATTTTGCATATTGCCAGGAAGCCGAATGTGCTAGACCTCAAAATAGCCGTTCTTACCGATTCCTTCACAGTCCCTTTCAGAAGTAAACGCAGACTTACGTAAGATGCATCCATTAACACAACATCGTTTCTGGGGTCATTTCTTTTCGATGACGGCACTGTTGGCGATTATCTGAGCGCCTCGGATGATAACAGACTCGCGATAACTCCATACGGAGCTGAAGTGGAGGCTTTATTTATGGCCACTACCTGTGCCACACAGTTACCTTGAAGTCCGTTTTGAGAATGTAGCGCGAGGTTGCCATGTCCCTGCTTGCATGTAGTGGAGTTTATCTGGAGACCTCCGCAAAGGGGCTGACCGCCGGGGTCCGATTCAGGGGCCAAATCTTGGTGCGATCTTCAAATCGTGGTTCGTCAAGTCATCTCTCAAAGTTGCTTGGGTTAATCCACACGCTCAAATTTCCATGAAACCCAGCAAGACAGATGATCAGTGATTTTTTTGCGCAATCTGTCTACTGGCTGGTATTGTAAGACGCGTTGGCTGAGCCTTGCGTACTAATGTTTTACACGCAGGGTTATTGACATTCAACAATTGCTTGGCTCCACTTGTCAATGATTTCAATCCACGTTGCTGAGCTGCAGATTGCAGGGGGTTGATAGGTATGGATACCAACAACAGAATCTGCCAGTGGGCTTCGGTCCTACTTTAGATTACTCGACCGAATGTTTCGCTTCTGAACCTCCGACCATGCTTCACAGTCGCTTCGTTCCTGGCTCATTCAGTTCTCTTGCGCGGCAAATGTTTTTAAGAGGTCTTGCTGAAGTTGGCATCAATCTGTATATCTGGAGCCTGCAAAGGGGCCAGGAAACATGGCAGAATCAAGTGACGCTCCATACACCTCTTATTTAGTAAGCATTTTCGAAAAGGTTACGCTCATTTGTTTCGAGGTCAATATGCTGACGGCACGAATGGCAGAACCTACAGCAAACAATGATTTGCAAGGCTCGAGAAGCGAATGCGGACAACCTCGATGCGAAAAGCCCACATGGTGGAAATGAATGGAGACAAAGTGAATCACACCAAGCACCAAGCCGTGTCTCGGTCTCCGGCGAATCTTTCCGAACTTCCTCCATGTCGAGATCTTTCTCGAAGACGAAGTCAGCCATGTCACTGCGGAACATTCTTTGCGATGAAAGTTTCCTGGGGTTTGCTGAAGTAGACGCCGATACTTCCCAGTCTTCGGCCCCAGAAACACCAAAAGACATATTGGAAAACTGCACTCAACCACAAAATGGCCTGTATTCGCCCCTACGCAGTTGCTCGCTATCTCCACCTTATTGTCGTGAGCATGCCGGCCCCACAGGCTCAATGAATCAGGATCCCGCAGCAAATGGCTTGCCACAGGCAATACCGGACATTTCACCGACATATGACGCGAAACGTTCGAATAAAGTTGTGGTTGGTGGTCAAGGTAGCAATAAACTTTCCAATGAACGGAAGGCTCGTCGCAGTCTAGGAAAACCGGACACACAACGCCAAAAGAAACGCAATAGTAAGACTCAACAAGCAGCTTTGGACTGCTATGTGTCAACACTGACATTAATCTACGATGGAGCAATCGCGGATTTGAATTGCGGGTCAGACGATTATTATAATCGTCAAGTCTCAAGCCGCACAGAAGAAATCTAAAAGACATCCATGCTTTTATGCGACACCGTTCTATCTACAAAACTACCAGTGGCTAGTCGTAGAATTTGTTCAACAGACTTGTGCTTCACTTACTGTTTGTTCTGTGTGATAATTCTCGTGTGGATTGCCGTTATGCTTGACCCGTAGTCCTCGGCTTGCCCCTTCGTCTCCTGTTACCCCGAGACTTCCTTCAGGTGGAAGAGCCTGCTTTTGAAAAACAGGAAAATGCAGATGTGTGGATGGAATGGTGTAATTCCCATTGGAGATTGGTTGCATTCACAGCCTCAAATTTGACCTATAACCACGTCGTAAGTAACTGCCGAGCGTTGTGGTCGTCTTCCGGTGGCGGCCTAGACACATCCGTCCCGCTTCGGCGGAAAGTGGATGGAGATGACGGAATATGGAGCTGTCATCGGCGCTTCCTCCGCCCATCAGCAACCCCACTTACCGGGTGTGGTAGGGCGTGAAATGGGACAGCCTGTAGCAACTAGCTATCGTCATCCGCACACAGTCTTAAACCGATCTTCATTCTTGGCTAGGTACCCATTTGGACCGCTGCCCCGTAATCTCCTTACCGAGACTTGTTTGCCAGCACAGTGCATCCTGCCCCCGAAAACTCTGTTATTACGTTGAAAGACTTTACAACGAACTGAGATCTCTCATATAGCTCTATTATATTTCGCCACAACGCACTAGCCTTCGTTGACAATTGATTACAAGACGTGATGCTCGCTCAGTCTCATTTGGGAATCTTCACCTCACAGAGTCAAGTCAGTTGACATGGTATTTCCCTCGGTTACTTGGAGAGGCGGCTAGTCACATTTCCGGGATGCTGGAGGTACCCCATGCGGGGCCCCGCGTTCTGGGGTATGGGGGGTACCATTGGCACCTCTATTAGGCAACACGGTGCTCGGTTGCCGGCTTGAACCACACCTCGTGAAATATGGCGGCTTCGTGACGAACACAGTGATCTGACAGCCCTTACGACTACAAGCTCGGGTCTTATTGTGCCGGACCGAAAGTGGTGGAGGAAGCGGTTTAAGTGTTCTTCCACGGTGGGACTGTGAATAGCGGGTAAAGGAAATGCCTTTGCATTGGCTAATAGTCTCTGCGTAGAATTCATTACTATAAAGATGGCCAGCCTTCGATGGATCCTCAGAATCACTCAGGTTGAAGAGACAGCATCGTGATAACGACCCTCTGCTACCCTTCTTCAAGACGCAAGCTTTCACTTTGGCATCACGTCCATTTGGTGTTCTCAGTTCTTTCAGTCGTTATGAGAGTCAACAGTTTTGTATTGGCTGTCACAGCCTTTTCAGCTGTAGCTGAAGCTATCCCATCTACTTCGTATGTTGATTGGAAGACTTTCAAGGCTACGGGAGTGAACCTTGGTGGCTGGCTGGTTCAGGAGGCTGTCCTCGATGCTGGGTTCTGGGATACGTACGGCGGCAACACCACTGACGAGTGGGGTTTATGCGTTCGGCTCGGCTCACAATGCGGTCCGGTATTGGAGAGGAGATATGCAACCTTCTTTCGACCATCCGACATTGACAAATTGGCCAAGGCTGGTGTCGAAATTCTGCGCATCCCAACCAACTACGCCGCTTGGATTAAGGTTCCCGGATCTCAGTTGTACAACGGAAACCAAGTCGAATTTTTGAGGACGATTGCGACATACGCCATTACCAAACACAACATGCACATTGTTATCGATATTCACTCCCTTCCTGGCGGGATTAACGGTCTCGGTATCGGGGAGAAAGACGGGAGCTATGGCTGGTTCAACAATCAAACTGCTCTGGACTACTCTTACCAGGCTGTCGATGCCGTGGTACGATTTATTCAAGACTCAGGATCTCCTCAATCCTACACCCTTGCACCTATCAATGAGCCAGTCGACAACCGCGATTTCTCCAAGTTCGGTACGCCTGAAGCGCTCAGTGAGAGTGGCGCTGCATGGGTGGCGAAATATATTAACGGAGTCCTCGCCCGAGTTCGAGTCGTGAACCCACATATTCCGGTCATGTTTCAAGGCAGCTTTCGGTCCGAGTCTTTCTGGTCACCGTACTTCGACGCTGGCGAGAATCTTGTTTTTGACGAACATCACTACTACTTTGCTGGTAGGCCGACTACCTCGGAGAATTTACCAAGCTTCATCTGTGAAGATGCCAAAAGTTCTGTTGGAGATGGCAAGTTTCCGGTCTTCATCGGCGAATGGTCAATTCAAGCGGTGAGCAACAACACCTTCGCTAGTAGGGCAAGGAACCTGAACAGCGGATTGTATGCCTGGTCCAAGTACACGCAGGGTAGCACCTACTGGACGGCAAAGTTTTCGGGGGACGCCCCTGTCGATGGGCAAGGGACCCAGAGCGACTACTGGAATTACGAAGGATTTATTGACTCCGGGTTCATCAAGCCAACTTCTGCGGATGGGTTTTGCCCTTAGATTGTGTTCCTGGCATCAAGGCTCCTTTTGGTCTGATTAATACTTCTTCCACAGAAATAAAAGTCCGATGATATCAATGAGTATCCAATTGATATCCAGACTGCAATGAGACGGACAGGAAAGTAATAATGAATGCTTTCAGTAAGGGGCCAAATCCAAGTCCTCTTTAACTGCTACTACACCGTTCACTACCGCAGGAGCAGCCGACAATGGTTTCTCTCAGATTTCTCTCTAAGCCAATTGCAATTAATTCACCGAGTAACTTGATCAAGATTGGCGTCACATGTTGTCCGGCGAGCATCCATGCCGCTTGAAACTTTGTGGTACCTGTGGCGTACCAGCTGATCGCCCTGCAGCAGCCATTGTCTTAGTCTGATTGGGTTGGAGGCCTCCTAAGATTTACGAACAGGGTCCAAGACTTTCTGACCGCAAGAGTGATGGTCCAGTTGTAATTTGCCTTTACATGTCCGAATGCAGCGCAACCCAGTCGAGTTGGCCAATAGTAGAAGTTCCACAACGCCATTGTTGAGTGAATGCGTCGCATTGATACAAAACCCGTCTTCTCACCCAGTCTACATCTATTGACTCTACCCCTCCTTCAAAAAGTCTACGTCAGTGGACGCAATTCACCTTCCCAGTCGAAGCAAGAGGTCCCCTTTTAACGATCAACGGAATGGCCGAAACTTCGGATAAGCACATCGGGTCACCCGCTGAATCCAAGCCGGCTGAGTCGTCAACTACTCGAGCAATCCTTGGTTCTGTGGACGCATCATCTATTCCAGTAGGCGCGGTGCATGGCGCACCTATCGAGGCTGATGAGGGGGAAACGGTATGTTGTCTTTGCATTGATCCAAGAACAGTCAACTAACACTCGGAAGGTCAATGATGCGACATCAATCGACGAGCGCATGTACGTGAATAGATCTGGAGATCACAAGTCATAACCGTATGCTCCATGTTAACATAACTCGAATTGTAGCTCAAGCTACACCTCTTCCTTGACATCAAGTGTAGTCGATTATCCAATGGAATATGGTCGGCGATATCATGCGTTTAGGTCAGGATGTGAGTGGTCTTGATTTACTGTCCCCGCCCTTGCGTTGGCATCTCGTAGTGAATCATCATTACGACGCAGGTTGACTACTGACTTCAGGTGACATAGCTTACGTTCTCCCAAACGATGAGACGGAGTCAGACCGGCTTGATATGGCACATGCGCTCATTACAAGAGTGATTGGCAATAAGCTCTACTTGGCGCCTGTAGAGACGCCCAAGATTCATCGTATCCTTGATATCGGCACTGGGACAGGAATCTGTAAGGGTTCCTGCCTGCCTGATGGGGATAATCACTTCACTAAGCAAAGGCAGGGGCGATCGAAGCAAGTGACCTTTTTCCGAATGCAGAGGTAAACACACCCGTTTCAAAAAAGACTGTACGAAGATCTGACCTTGTACGACTGATAGATCATTGGCAACGATCTGAGTGCGATTCAACCCTTGTGGTAAGCAGCCTTACTTATGAGAATAACACAGTCTAATATAGGAGCTGAGACAAAAGGATCCCGCCAAATGTCAAGTTCGAGATAGACGATGTCGAGAGCCCCTGGGTCGGCCCAAAATACGACTACATCATGTGCAGATACATGGCGGCTTCAATTGGCGACTGGCCGAGCTTAGTTAAAAAAATTTATGAGTATGTATATCGTGCTGATATTCCTTTAATTCTTGAGAAAGATCTTACCGGATGCTAGCAACCTCAATCCCGGAGGCTGGGCTGAGTTCCAGGACATGAGCGTCGAATACTATTCCGACGACGGTTCATACAAGCCGGAATATTTCACATACAAGTGGAACCAAACTTTCGTTGAGACGCTGAAGGCTATCGGACGAGACCCAGCCCCAGGTCCTCAGCTCGAAGGTTGGGTGAGGGGACACGGAGGATTCAACCACGTGGCCCATCAGAAATTTAAGGTCCCTATCGGTCCTTGGGCAAAGAAGCGGCATTACAAGGACTTAGGACTCCTTAATTTGGCGCAAGTTCTGGAAGGTCTAGAAGGATTCTCCCTGAAACTGTTCTGTGGAGTCCTCGGGAAGTCGAATGAGGAGGTACAGTCGCTCCTTGCAGGTGTTCGAAACGAATTGAAAACAAACGCTTTCCATGCCTTGTTCGATATGTTAGTCTGAAGCGCCATCTTTTTAAAGCTCGCAATATTTGCTAACAGTTCCGGCAGTCACGTCGTCTTTGGACAAAAGCCTTTCACCAAACCATGAAACGAAAAGGCCGCAACTGGTCTGATCAGGCCCTGGAGTCTCTACTTTAGATTGAATGGGAGCACTATTCGTTTTCTGGTATTCCATATCTTTCCTATTCCATGATATATCCTGGCGACCCTCCGTTGACTATGTCTTGAAAGAATTGTTCAAGAGTTCTACCTCCCTCAAACCTCGGGAAGACCTTCCAAAAGTCCAAGTACCCCAAGTAATCAGCGTACTCTGGTGTATTGTCTCCTCTAACGCACCAAGAAAGACGGTACTGTCCCATATTATATTGAGCAATGTCCATGATGTTGCTTGGATGTGTTGCGCTCTCAGAACTCTCCTTGAGCCTTGTGCCAGAGGTCGCAATAATTTGGTGTAGCTCGGCTTCAGAAACCTGTCAACGATACTGTCAGGAAATGCACAGTCAATCAAATATTGTGCAGAGAACCTACGTAGTTTCTGGGGGGCTCTTCCCCGCTTATTTTCGCCATAGTGCCCCATATGTCGTTCATGCTCAGGACCTCAGTATATGCCAGAACACGTCTGTTGAGAGTTCGATCATCTCCAATGATTTGTGCGACATACTTTCCAACGTCTGTCATATCTGTCATGGCAAACTTTTGGTTCCCGTCCCCAACAATGCTGTGGTCAATGTACTTCATATGCGCATGATCTGATTTGCCAGAAGGTATCTTGGGAATAAAAACCTGGAACCAACAACCGACATCAATAATGGTGTATGGTAAGCCCGCTCGCTGAATGGCACCGAGGATCTCCAATTTCTAACTTCATTTAGTCATCGGTTGTCTTTTCATTGGGGTGGGAGGGAGGGACCAGTCTTCTCACCTGGTCTTTGATGTCAATCACGCCCCTGGGTGCTGGCCCAACCCACTCCGAGGGTACAAAACGCTTCACACCAGCCGTTTTAGCTGCATCAATCCAAGGTAATTGTTGATTGAGATGTTCCCATGTTATACAGGAAATCAAAACCTCAATGCCTCTCAGTTGGGCGACAAGGGTCTCTTTCGGGCCTTCTAGGTCATAGCCCGAAACCTCGACGCCCCTATCCTTCAGCTTCTGATTTGCCGCGCTACCGACCGATGGTTTTCGAGTGAAGGAGGTAACGACCTTTGTGGTGAATGTCAACAGAGATATCAAGGTCGGTGGTATGGGTCAAGCTTACGAAATCGAGATCGGAGCTAAGCAAACCATCGACCACAGACTGGCCCGTCTTGCCAGTTGCCCCAATGACTCCGACCGTAATACTTTCGCCAACCATTTTGATCTTGAAGTGTTGAGAGACCATGGAGTTCTCGTGAACGATGGTCAAGCTTACAAAGACTCGTAAAATTCTGCAGGGTTTAAATCTTAGTTTCGCAACATGAATGAGGTCCACTAACTTCGTGATGTCAAACTTATCATAATGACTCATTCTGTATACAGCGATCAGGGCAAGGTACAAGCCGCTTCAATTGCCACTGTCTGAACCGTGCGTCATGTCAATTGGATACCTCCATCCTCCTCTCGCCCAGAAGTTGAGTAGTTCCTACTCTGAAAACTTTAGTCAGTAAGTCAAATAGGCAATGCGTCATTACCATGCTCGGATGAATGTTTAAGCTGAAGCAATCCATCATTCGGACTCTTACATGGCCTCAACAGTATGGTTTTTGAGACAGATTGCGGACCCAGTCAACCGTGCATACGGTGAATCAGCATTTATTCCGTGTCAAAGTCGGCGCCAAATCCTTCCGCTTCATCTCTCAGAAGCCAGGGCTATGGCCCCATAGCGATTTGAGATAAAATTACATACCACTTCCAAGCCCTCTCTAAGCCGATCAGATGGCATGCCAAGACCAATGCGAACCCAACCTGCGAATTCCTTCCCAAAGCAGGTTCCTGGGACCAGAAGGACTCCCTGCTCCTCATGAAGTACTTGACATAAAGTTACATCATCCACCAGCTTTCCTTCTCGCGTGAATTTGATGAAACCCATGGCTGCTCCTGCAGGTGCAACCCAACTGCAAATATTGGGATATTTGTCAATAAAAGCTTGCACGATGAACTTGTTCCTCTCTGCCTGCAAAATATTCCGCTGTATGATGGCAGCGGAACGTTTTGAATGCAATGCAAAATCGGCAACGCGTTCGTCTAACTGGCTTGTTGTAATGAGGCAATAAGCCCGAGCATTGTCGCAAAGCTCAATGATGTTTCGGCTATGGGACGCGAGCCAACCGATGCGGATTCCCGCAAGGGAATAGCTCTTTGATAGGGCGCATGTGGCTATGGTATTTTCATAGCCTAAGGAGATAATGGAAGGCGGAGTTTCATCTTCGTCGCCAGCCGAGGGGTAGAAAGTCGGCCGGTAGATCTCGTCGGAAAACACGATGATAGAATGTTCAGAAGCGATTTCGATGATCTTGCGCAGTTCTGTGTCGGAGAGGACAGTTCCCAGAGGGTTGAGAGGATTGCTGCATTTGGTTTCCATGATTAGTTCAAGTCTTAGCATTTTACTAATGAGCCAGACTCACTTGATGACGATCATTTTGGTGTTGGCCTTGATAAGTCCTTCTAACTCCTTAGGGTCGAAGCTCCACTTGTCATGGGCCTTGGCCTTCCAATAGCTCACCTCTGCACCTAACGAGCCCGGGACAGCTTGAAGCTGGGGATAACCAGGAGAAGTGACAATGACATGATCCCCCGGGCCAATCAAAGCATAAAAAACAATGAAATTGGCAAGAGATCCGCTGGCGGTTGTCAACACGTTTTCAAATGGCAAGTTATCTGAATAGAGTTTCGCAATCTTCTTTCGCAGGGGGGGCAGGCCGGCAAAATCTGCAGGGTAGTCGAGAGGCTGAGATAGAAGAGAAGGGAGGAAGTCGTCGTAATCCTCTCCACTAGCAATTGATTCAAGCTCTGAGATGGACACTGGATGCGCTGATGTATGAGCTAGGTTATGACGGGCAGACTTTGATCACTCGGCAAGCCACTAATACGAATTGTGAGTGTCGTTGCGTGCCTCTGGACACATTATCAGACTTACATGATCCACAGCGAAGAATTCGAGTTTAACCATGATGTTAGTCGGTGCCGGTAATAGAAGCAGGGCCAGGTGTAAGAATGATTTTGGGCCAGAGCCCTATGTAAATGTTGAAAGATCGTTGAAAAATATTGGAAGCCGTTCAAAGATAACCGGCCGGTCGGACACGCATGCCATGGCTAGCCAGGAAATCTTGATCTAGTATGGATGCCAACCCCATTAGTGCATGCAAGTCAATACATAGTGCGCCCTTCCTACGGACCCGCAGGGCGCGCCCTGGAGTTGATTGTCGGTGCCAAAACCGCCTGCAACTCGTACAACAATCTGCCGGTAATGGGCCAGTGTACCAGCTGTGCTTAACAGAGCTTCCAAGTTCTAGAGCGGTAGACATCTTCTGATTACGAAGGGCGCAAAATCAAATGAAGTCAATTACCCTTGCTATTTCAAGACTGGATCAACACTTTGATCGATCCACTGTGGGGATCAGATGCAGTCTTGAACGCCTCAATCCCATTCTCCAAAGTGAACGTATGTGTCACAAGCCGCTTCAAGTCCACCATTCCACTCTCCATTACTCTTATCGCTCTTGGCCACATATTGACATACCGCTGCTGGAATTGGATATCCACTTCATTCGCACTACAGCGCATGAAGGGGATCTCCATCTTTTCCTTCCCTACACCGATAATGAAGACTTTTCCCCCAAATTTGACGGTCTGTATCGCGTTACAGACTGAACTCTGAACACCTGTACATTCCAATGCGACGGCAATTTCAACACTCTCTCCTAGTGAGCTTTTGACGGCGTTTTCGAAGTCTTCGGGGGTCTCTTCTTTCTGTACTCTGTGAACAATGACCTCAGGCATGATCGTCTTGGCGAAGTCCAGCCTAGTAGAATCGATGTCTGTGATTACAACTGGATAAGCGCCTGCTGCTCGGCAGACATCGAGCGTGATCAAGCCGATGGGTCCAGCGCCGCATATAAGGACGGGGTCACCGATCTTAACCCCAGACCGAGTCACCCCAGTCAGTGCGACACTTAGAGGTTCAAGGAGAGCACCCTGGTCGAACGATAGACTCCCAATCTTGTGGCACCAGACTTCAGGGTGGTTGACATATCGTCGCAAGAGGCCATGTGATGGGGGACTTGATCGAAAGAGTAGATTCTTGCAGCCATTGTACCGTCCTGTTAGGCAAGGCTCGCATGAGTTGCAGATGATATGAGGCTCGATCGCAACTCGATCGCCTGGCTGCAGACGGGTGACCGTAGGGTGTACCGCGACAACTACACCGGCTGATTCGTGACCAAGTATATGCGGACCTTTGACTTGCCACGGACCAATGCCACCATGCTTCCAGAAATGGACGTCAGATCTGGTAACTTAGAGGTCAACTTAATGAACTTTGATAAGATCTGATTGATAGATGTGACGGTCTGCCGAACTCCAGGGTGTACGTTCTCAATATCCTGCGTCCGAGCTTGTTGAACATCGACGTCAGATGTACATACCCACATATGCCAGTTGTTTTCACAGCAATTGTAACTTCCCCGACTTGTAAGTTTGCTCCGGATTTGACGTCCTCTAGACTGGGTTCGGCTTGGTCCAGCCAAAGATTGTGATCCGGGTCAATATGAATGCCGACATTAGGGAGCGTCACTGCCGGTGCGAACGATTCATCAGATGACATTTCGGGTAAATATTTCAGGAATGGACTACAGCAACCAATGTAATGAGAAATGTCATGAGGGATGGAAAGCAAAGATGGGAGGGTGATCACAAGACTGTCCAATCCACAGAGCTCAACGTACGTGAACGGATATTTGAAGCACTAAAAGCCCCACTAACAGATGTCATGCGAACATTTCTTGCCTGCCCGTTGATGGATCGGTGGAGGGGTTGCGATCATGGTGGTGCACCCCGCACTTGGAGGCCGCAAAATATGCCTAATCGGGCAATATTGGCGTCACGGTGTGGGGGAACTCTCGACCGCCTCTCAACCTGTCAAGCATTTTGTCAACTTCCCGACACCTATTTTTGCAAGCAGGCCGGTGGAGCACCATTCGACTAGGTACTTATTTCTCAATCTCGCTACTATGCGTCTCAACCACCGACAGAGAGATTTTACTTGACATCGACATCCAACTGAGAAACTTTGCCCATTATGCCACTGTACAAACCACCCAATCCCTCTGCACATGTGCTTTCGCAATTCTCCCTGAAAGGCAAGGTTGCTGCAGTCACTGGCGGCGCCAGAGGCATCGGCCTGGAGATTGTCAAAGGTTTAGCTGAGGCCGGCGCCGATGTTGCGCTTATCTATGCAACCAACAAACAGGCCGAAGAGACGGCGAGCCAAATCGCCAAGGATACCGGTATCAAAGTCGTGGCTTACCCGAGCGACGTGCGATCCCGTGCCTCAATAGCTGCAACTGTTGACCAGATCGTCGCTGACTTTGGACGATTGGATATCATGGTTGCCAATTCTGGCGTCTGTGCCGATATCCCCGGTCTGGAATATACTGAGGAGACGTGGAAAGAGAATAACAGTGTCAATCTCGACGGTGTCATGTGGACTGCTCAAGCTGCTGGAAAGATTTTCAAGCAGCAGGGGCGCGGAAACTTGATTATCACAACGTCAGTCAGCGCAACTCTCGTCAACATCCCCCAGAAGCAGGCTGCGTATAATTCTTCCAAGGCGGCAGCTGTGCATCTGGCAAAGAGCTTGGCTGTCGAATGGGTGGACTTCGCCCGAGTCAACTGCGTATCGCCTGGATTCATCGAGACTGACAGTAAGTTCCCATTCGCAAAGACTGGTATTTGAGATTTTAACGTGTTGTAGTGTTATACATTCAACCGAAAGAGCGTTTCGACAAATGGATGGAGATGATTCCTGGCAAACGAATGGCCGACGCATCGGAACTCAAAGGCGTGAGTCATTCAAACATTTTGCGCAGTACTTTGCCTATGTTGCTAACATGATGAAGATTTATGTGTTCTTGGCCGGTGATTCGTGCTGTTACATGACGGGGGCGGATATCATCGTTGATGGAGGATATACTTTGACATAAAGGCAAGGATCTACGCCAGCAGTGCAATCCAATCGAATAGAGTGCCCGTGCTTACTTTTCTTGAATGAGGGAGGGCATAGGTCAAAGTGCCCGCATACTGTGATCCCCAAAGCTTACAAATTGGGTGAACTTGTCGTTGTCTTCAATTTGGCGGGGGGAGGGGGGCCGTGCCGTAGAGCGAGAATCACTTTGACGTGCATCCATAGAGAACATAGAGATAGACTGACAAAGCACATGGTAAGCCTCAGTATTGGCACATCGAATCACGCACATACATATTTGCAGGAATCGAAAAGTCGCTGTACTATCTGAACATAAATCATTCACATCTATGCCTATGACTTCTTCGTTTCAGCCTGCCGATGCAGTAGGCTCAGGTCCTACATTGCATGAAGCGGACTGTTCTCTTCTTTCAAGAAACCGCATGCAAACTATGAGTCTGATTTGCTTGAGGATGGCTTGCGATTCATTAAGAACACATTACTTTCTGAACATCAGTCCATAGAAAATGACCCACCCAATGTACACCTCATTGATTGCCATAACCTCTGAATAAGCTTCAACTCGTACGGTAAAATACTTCACATCTCCATTCACCGCTCACTCCACATGACGTGCTTCAGTCCGTGATTTTTTCTTGTCTGCCGCTTTAGTGACGCCGTCTTCGTGGGCGACACGCTCTACTTGAGCTTCCTCGTGGTCGACATACTTCTGAGGTCTTTTGGTTCCAATAGCATCCTTGTCCCCGATGACAATGAGCGGAGGGTTCTTGCGGTAATACTCGTCAAGATCTTCGAGCGTCCGGTTTGCTAGGAACACCACGTTAGATGACGCTATCATCGTTACTTCAGTGATCCAAACATACCTGTCTCCGGGTAGAATAGATAGATGACGGGTAGGAAGGCGGCATTCAAGACAGTGAAGACGATCCAGAACTTCCAACCCAGGTTTTGAATGCCAATGGGTGTGATCTGAACGATCACATAGTTCGTGATCCTGAAATTATCATCAGCTTATCTATATTCCATCCGAACCATAGAAAGTATCTTACCAATTTGTAGCAGTTGCTACAGCAGCACCCTTTGTACGCATGGCGATGGAGTTGATCTCGGTGGGGTAGAGCCAAGGAATACCCAGCATGCCCACCCCAAAGGCAATGTAGTACAAAAAGAAGAATACAATAGACCCTTCTGCTGCTTTCCGGTTGCCTCCCGCCTCGCCGAATCTAAGTAGAATGGTGATGACTAGGAAAGACAACCCCTGTCCTGCAGTTGAAATGAGCATCAATCCTCTGCGACCCCATTTCTCCACAAGCGTAATCGAGACACACGAGAAGATGAGGTAGGTAACGGAGTTGACCGCGGTTAGCAGTCGAGCCAGCTCGGTCGGTAGTCCTACAGCAGTGATCAAAACGGTAGGGAGGTAATAAGACATGATGTTGATTCCTTGACACTATCAGTACCTAGGAAGAAACTGTAAAGTATTACTTACCCTCGAACTGCTGAATGAACTGGGTCCCAGCTCCCAAGATGAGTCGTCGGAGTGGTTTGGTCGCCCCGGGTTGTGGCCGCAACAGATCTCGCCATCTAATTTGATGCTCTCGCTCGTAGTTTATGCTGAAAAGGATCTCTTCCCTCTGCGAAACAACATGGACGTCATCTTGGGGCTTTGCCTCGAGGCAGGCCAAGACTTCAGTTGCCTCTGCCTCTCGCCCATGTGACATCAACCACCTGGGAGATTCAGGGAGCCAAGGCACCGTTGCGAATAGCGCAATGATGAAGACGAACTGAAATGCAAGCGGAAATCGCCAGGCAACAGCACCGCCGGCAAAGGAGAGGCCGTAGTTGATCCAGTTGCATAAGGAGAAGCCCGCGATGTTCATCATCATCTCGAACATGACCAATTTGCCTCGCCAATGTGCAGGTGCTGTCTCGGTCTGCCAGATCGGGGCGGTGGCTGTGTTGATACCGTTTCCAACTCTGCGGTTGACGAAGTAATTAGTAGGTGTGATCGACAAATAAGTGAAAGGGCAACTTCATCCCTCAATACTTACCCCAGAATGATGCGGCCAACGAACATCTGTGCTAGACTATACGATGTGCATTTCAAGATAGCCCCGAGAGTCATGATTGCCGTGCCAACGATGATGGATTTGGTTCTGCCGAGTCGCTCGCCGATTGTAAACGCGACGATGGCCCCTAGAAAGCATCCAATATCGTAAATTGCAGTGACGGTCGAGAGCATTTGGGTCTTCTCCGGGCCAACTAAATCATGGACCTCGAGGAAGTTGTCGGTCACAATGACGCCGCTGAAGGACCTGTTTCTTCATTGTCAGAATTGCTTTAGTTGGGATGTGCCTTGCTTGTTAGGGGGTCACGACTGACGCCTGATCATAGCCAAACAGAAGCATGTCTGTCGAACATGCGAAGGTGATCCAATATGTAAGCCATTTTCCAGTGAGCCCAAAATACGGCTGCTTTCTTGTTGAGGTGACCATAGTTGTTGGTTTCGAGGGGTCCAGAATTCAAATTTGGGATGATTGCTGCTTAGCGGAAGGCTTCAGCATGACCAACCATCATTGGCCTCAATAGGTTTCTGTTCAAATATATAAAGATACTTGTACGGCACAAATCCGGGGTTAAGACTGACCGGGATAAAGTGAAATGGCCCGATGTCTTCCCCGTGGGGTCGGTCTTACGTCAGTGATCAAACGCCGGGTAGACCATGCATCCATAACGTGTTCAAGGGGAGGGGAGCCAACGCACTAACGGTTTTAGGAATATTATGCGTTGTTTTCCTACGCGAGGTTGACTGCGCTGATGAATAGGCGACGGGTTTCTTGCTTGTCCGGACTTTCTAACTGACTTCAACCCTAAACTACCAAATTCAGAAATTTGTGCGACTAGACAAAGTCTTCGTCGAACGCTTTGGAGATCAACCAATGCCACAGACAAGCAGCGGACCCAGACACTCAGAACAAATGCGAGGAAAGAAGCGATCACGGAAAGGCTGGTAAGTGCATGGGTGGTTCGTTGGACAGCGCATGGCATCTGCTGATTGACATGCAGCCCAGAATGCCGCAGACGCAAGATCAAATGTGACGAGCGGCAACCCCAGTGTGGTCAATGTCGGAAGGCCAATCGCAACTGTCGACTGCAAGATTCGATATTCAGGCAGCATGAATTATCGATTCGGTTTAATGACTCGGTCCAAGGTGACCAAGAAGATGCCAACAACGTGAATGCTACTTCTGAGACGGCGTCAAATGCCCCACTTCAGAATGATGACGCTGGTAAACAACTGAACCCTTCATTTACGGCTGGCTTTTGCTGATGGGCTAAGAAGTGAGTGTAGTGAATTTACCTTCGTCTGGTTCACAGGTCAATACTAGCGTCTATCGAGAAGAAACAATTGATGCAGACGACGCCCGCAATGACAGTGAACCAGCGACTATTGACGGAGCCGGAGAAAGACAACCCTCACCGGCTACCGACGACCCGCACTTGGAACAAGACAATCTAAGTGTGGCGTTCGAAGTTCATCTCGAAGGCTCTTCTGCACAGCTTGAAGCTTCTGCGGTTGACCCTCTCAGAAATACTCAAGAAGAACTATTCCTCCTTAGACACTACTCAGAGTGCATAGCCCCGTGGTGCGTTATCCAATAGGAAATTGGTCTTTTGAGACAAGCTGCTGAAAGGTCAAGACAGGATGGACCTGCTCTATCGTTATGAAGTCTTCAGCCGGGAAGTTTTGACCTTAGCCCGAGACCACCCGATACTCCGCTACGCAGCCTGTGCCGTTGCTGCCAAACAGCTTGGCCAGATGCGAAGTCCCTTGTCGACAATTATTACCGGCAAGACTCAACAGGAAATTGCCGCTAAACTCCAGCACGGTCCATTGGGGTTGATGTGGTATGGGGCGAAATACTATGAGAAAGCGATACAAACGCTAGTGAAGTCAATCACTTCAGAACACCCCGCTCAGAATTATGCCTCACCGCCAACATCACTGTCGCAGGGGAATCTCATGGTACGAGCAGATGGAGAGGATCCCATTGTAAGGCTGCTCGGGACTTGCATCTTGATCCAGTATGAGCAGATAAGTGCGAATAGAGACGCGTGGTCTGGCCACTTGTTCGGTTTCTCCAAGCTGCTCGATCTCATCGATGATGGACGGCTACTCCATCCCGACCCCATGTTCGAGGCAGTCTATCCGTTTACCAAAGACATCATGCAAGTCAAGGCCGGATTTTGGAACTTTGTGGTGAACGATCTCGAGGAATCCTGTAAGTGAAGCAAATACTGATTTGTTTCCGGGCCCTCATTAACCCATTTTCCAGTCGTATCACACAGAAGGACACGTATCGATACGGAGAATCTCGCTCTCTGGCGTAACATGGGTCTTTTGATTGAAGATAATGGGAGTCTGACTACAGGTGCTAGCCCAAACAGCCTCGCAAACACAGCGGAACACGCGAGGGATAAGGCTTTATCCTACACTTTGATACGCTACTTATGCAAACTCATCAACTATCTAGCACCGTCATCACATCTCGAGACAATGTTGGTTCAACCAAGACTGGCTTTCATGTCACTTGAAGACCATTTTCAAGCCTGGTTTCAGACGATATCCCCGTCTTTTCTTGCGGACGGCACGTTCTTCACGGATAGGCGTTCAAGCGAGGCCACACCAGACCTCTTCAGTCGTGAACTTTGGTTCAGCAACGACCTATGTGCTACCACGATGATGTACTATCACATGGCATGCATGCTTTTGCTGATTCACCGTCCTTCAGAACTGCTTCCGGGAGACGGTGCTGTCGGAGGGCGTACCTCATTTGATCTATTACGGGCGTTTCGTGACGTGGAACATAAACTACAAGGCCACGCCTCCGAGGTCATCTCCATTGTGCGTGGGACTCCTTGCGATGCAGTCAGACTTCGTGCCATTCAGCCCCTGTATGTTGCAGGGAGGTGCTGCACCCAGACCGAGGATAGGAATAGGTTGGTAGGCATGCTCCGGGAGATCGAAGATGATCTTGGAATTGTCACAGGGTACCGAGTTGAAGCTTTGCTTCAGGAGTGGGGTGTTGGACGTGAATCTCTTTCCCTGGCAAGATAGTAATCAGTGTAATAACAGTGAATCCGCTTTCATGGGGCGGCCACAACAAACAAGACTAGGAATACTGAACGTCTTAGTCTATCAAGAAACCTATGACGTAGCGAGGCATGGGACCACTGGGGAAAAGGACTTTCAGGAAGATGAAGAACGATTTAATCCAGGGATCGAAGACCTCCACTTTTTGCGAAGTCGTGGGGCTCTCGGTCGAGATGGAATCTAGAACTTGGCGCCAGCTTAACGGGGCGGTTTCATGGCAGTCAATGTGACGACAACCGCCTCGTCGTCAATATTTCCATTTTAGGAAGTTCACGCGCCACCTACCCACAGAAACGTTGCTGTCCGTCACAGGGACCAAAGCATTGACGATGCAAGTGGTTCTTTGAGTATCACGTTTTGAGAGATGACTGATATTTTGAGCAATGAATAGAGAACGTCGCGCCCCCATAACCCGGGCAATTCTGGCATAAAGGGGCCGTTGACGTTTGGAATGGGTCAAGACAGTTGTTGCACATCAACCAGACGTAGACAGTGAGATCTATCAACATGCAGGTATGTGTTGTTTCTATCGATTTTTCGATTACCATCTAAACACCTCGCAGAATCCTTCATTCGTTCTAAAAGACATCAAAAAGGTTGTCATCGAAGACAGGCCCAAGCCTCAACTCAAAGACGGACATGATGTTCTCGTCCACGTCTCACAGACCGGTATCTGCGGTAGCGACGTCCACTAGTAAGCCAAGCTCCCGGGCCTTTCTCAGTGAATGTGAATCTAACCAATTGTTCAGCTGGCAACGGGGCCGGATTGGCGAGTATGTTGTCAAAGGCCCCATGGTCCTCGGCCACGAGTCCTCAGGCGTCGTAGTCGAAGTCGGCGAGCACGTCACGCATCTCAAGCCCGGTGACAGAGTCGCCATGGAGCCCGGCGTTCCTTGTCGTCGTTGTAGCTACTGCCGCACCGGCAGCTACTTCATCTGCCCGAACATGATCTTCGCCGCAACGCCACCCATCGACGGTACACTGGCCAAGTACTACATCAACGCCTCAGACTTCTGTTACAAGGTCCCTGATAGCGTATCTATGGAAGAGTCGGCCATGGTAGAGCCGCTTTCGGTGGCGTGTGCAATCTGCGAGACAGCTGATCTGAGACCGCACCAGACTGTGCTCGTTCTGGGATGTGGCCCCATAGGAGTCCTGTGTCAAGCCGTTGCGAAGCTTTGGGGCGCCGGCAAGGTTGTTTGGGTCGACGTCGTAGAGAAGAGGCTCGAAGTCGCCAAGAGCTACGGCACCGATGCGACGTACACCCCTCCTCGCGCTGGAGAGGGCGTTGACCCGATGGTTCATGCAGAGACTATCGCTGCGAAGATGAACGATGAGTTGGGTTTGGGAGATGGCGCCGATGTAGTGCTTGAGTGCTCCGGTGCGGAGGCTTGTATACAGCTCGGCGTGTTTGCGGCGAAGAAGGGCGGAACGTTTGTGCAGGCCGGCATGGGCAAAGACGTAGTTGCTTTCCCAATCACTGCAGTTTGCACAAAGGCGCTATGCGTCAAGGGCTCGATAAGGTACAAGGCCGGTAGCTATCCGGCCGCGATTGAGCTTCTTTCTGGTGGCAAGATTGATGTCAAGAGATTGGTAACGCATAGGTACAAGTTTGAGCAGGCTGAGGAGGCGTTCGAGTTGGTCAAGGCTGGAGGGCCAGATGTTTTCAAGGTCATGATTGAAGGTGTTCTCGAGTAGATACCGGGAAACTACCTTACGCATAGAGCGGGGCATGGTCCTGGGAGACCTATGAGGTAAAATCAACTTCATTTTAGCCGACCCTACGTGTGTTCCTTTCTGGACTTCTTGAAGGTCTCAACACAAGCCATGACTTGAAAAAACAGTTTCACTTTATTGATAACGATTCTCTGGATTTCATTATTCGGATCATTAAGGCAACCATCGAACACTACAGATGAGAAAAGCTGCTCTGTCAGGGTAAGACCCAAAATAGAGGTTTAACATAGCCGACAATTGTTCATTATCCCAAGGTCAAGTTGTATTTCTCAGCAATAGATACCTATGTATCTGTTCCAGGGATTGTAGGTAAAATCAACAATTGATCTGTGACCCAGTTGTTGGAACCATGCCCCTAGACGTCAAGTATCGGTCCGCACGTATGGGCAGGAAACAAAATGCAAGGCAAAGAAAGAGTGTATGACCACGCGCTGCTGCGTGCGCGGTCCCCAACTGCATGTATCTCAGCATTACTGGCCTTTAGACGGCGATGTGCAGAGACTTTAAACTCCTCCGGGACATCCCCAGCAACAGCGAAGACCTCGCTGAGGGCGGCGTCGAGTGCCATCGGCGCCCAAACTGTGCCTCTAACTGGCTGGGGGAAAGAGGCCAGCCTACCCGATTAAAATGCAATGTGTCAGCAGGAACATATAGGCGGAGTACATGGAAAGAAACTTAATATAGGTGTTCGAGACATTGAATGCCTATCAATATCATCTTGTGTTGGAACTTGGTTACGTTTTCCTCTGACGTACCGTCAATGTAAAGGCGGGGCGGGCACATTACCACCATCTCCAGTTGAGTCATTTGAAACTTGCTAAGTTAATGATGGCGATCTAATACTTGCATGATCTTCATAGGCCCAACATGCCTTTAAACCCCTGAACACTTATTGAACGTCCGTTCTTGAAAACCACCATGCAAGGCAGGCATTAGGTGTTCTTTTTGGGTTCACATGGGGACTGCAGGTTGAGGATTTGAAAGTGCACAACTCCCACGAACACCCATCAAAGTCAAGACTGACAGCTTATCCAAGCCAAGTATACGGCACGGAACGGCGTGGGATGAATGTCAGCTCTTGAACTATGGGGTTACTTTGCCCAGAAGAGGCGGCTCTTGGCGGTAACATCGCATGACCCAATTGGGCAAGATACGTATACCATTCATACAATATCTCTTGGGATACTGAGACATGCTGTTCTTTGTTCCCGTAAGGTAGCAACGAATTCACGTGTTTTCTCATTACCTGGCCTCCTATCTCAACACAACGGTCATGGCACTAAGCCTCGAGAATGCGTGGAAAGCCACAGCGCCGGGTAAATGTGCAGCCTCTGTCGGATTTTCGAAATCTTACATAATTCTTATAGGTTTCCAATGATCAGACCAGGCTCCTGCATGATCTTTTCTATAGAGATTACCCTAGTGAGTGGTTCTTGGTTGCCATTCTCTTTGGAGAAGCCTGTGCTCACTGATCGCTTGCTTAAACTAGCTGGTGTGAAGTCTTATTGATGTAGAGAGGGTGTGTGAACATGTTGGGAAGAGAATGAAACTTATATATGTAGATAGCTGCACATAGAGTTCTTTCAACAAGCTCTTGTTCCCAAATGAAGAAGGAAAGCTGGTATTCGGGCGAGCTGGATGCTTAAATTAGGAGGCTATTATACAGAAACCACATGTCAGAACCGGGAAATGCTCCAACAAAGCAGATGTAGGATATCTTGAAACCAGAATGACGAAAACAACGCGGATATGCCTGCTTGAGAGTGTATAGATTATGAATCCGACTATGGAACACTAAGGCAGGCTGTTCCAGAGGAACTACCTCTCATCATCGAAAGAACGCAAGAAGCATTACCTACCCACGTTGGACGAGAACTTTGCACTCTGGAACATGGAACATCATGGGAAGAAGGCACCAAACAAACAGACTGCGGCGGAAAAGGACAGCGCAAATGGCAGAGAATGCTTGACTAGACTTGACAGCTGCGTTTGAGATGGTTCTGAACGTTGTTCACTTGAGAGTAAGGTAGGGAAACGACATAGTCTGGACGGGCATGTTTTCGAAATCCCACCACTACAGACTCCCAGCCAATAGATATTCGCGCATTATGACGATTCACAGAAAGCTTGCTCAACGCCACGCAAAAAAACGTCAAAGTGGTCTCTTTCCATGGTCATGATCCAACAGCGCCCTCTGCGCTTCTCACGTCATATGACATCCGAAGTCCACTTACCTAAACAGGAAACAAACCACCCACCAGCCAATCACAGCACAGCACACTTCACCACCAACCCACGCTCCACCCTTCCGCGCCCACGATACCCTCAAAACCCATCACTAAAAAAACACCAAAAAACATACAACACCGGGCATTCGCCAGTCGTCACCGACCTGACTACTACTCCGGCCCTCATTAGCTTATCTATGGGAGAGCGGACGGGATCCCGAGTTTTCCAATGGGTATGGTCGTATGTGGCAGAAGACCGCGTCAAGATGGTCTATATCCTGTAAGGCAGACAAACACTGTGGTCAGTGATTGATGTTGAGGTCAACTTTAGCAAGACATCCAAGTTCACAAAGGCCCAAGTTGCGGTATCGGAAATCTCGGGGTGGCGGGTCCTCCTCCAGCTGCTCTGCGGAAGGACCGGGTGCGTGGAGCTCTTCATCTCGGGTTCGGGCTGATCGCTGGAGACGCCCCTGTTTCATGTCAAACAAACGTCCCCAGCCGCAAAAAAAAATTCAAAGCTCTGCTCACCTTGGATATCTGGTTGGACAATTAGCTCCATGATCTGTGGGCTTCGTGTGAATGTGCGGATATGGTCGATGAGAGGTCCAAGTGCGAAAGCCTAAGAACAGCTGCTACGGTAGGTTAGGATTATGTGAAGAGAAAATAAGTCAGTGAACGTTTTTTGTTGACGGTTTTGAGCTGCGGTGCAGCCAAAAAATCGCAAGTTGCGTTTTGTTCTTGTTTCCAACGACTACCATCCAGCAGCTTCAACACCTCGTATCTCGCTGCGTTCTAAACAGAGACAAAGTAAACCAGTGTCTCTTGGGGAGAGACGTCTATGCAGAGAAACAAACAAACTTGAGAGAGAAAGCGAAAAAGATAAGACGGCGAGACGAGGCTCCCATATGCGATGAAAAGAAACAGTTACATCCCCACGGCACGCAATGCCCCATTCCTCCTCCTTGGATCCGCTGCGACGAAGCATTCCAGCTTGTCGTGATCAAAATGCTGCAGTTATAATCCAATGCCAGTTACCGCTGGATCCCCGTTCAAATGCCCATACTTAACACAGAGAAGAAAAGAAAGACCAGAGTGACCATCGACACCACCCAACGCCAGTGTATGCAAATCCCGAGCTCAAGTCTAATCCTGGCGCTCATCCCGGTCGCTATCATCGCCGCTATCGGTGAGGTCGACAGCCTTTGTTGCCTCGATCTCCGTCATCTCACGCCATGTACTCCAGCTGAGCATGCCGAAGGCGAGCATAATCATGATGCCACCAATGAGGGCCGCAGAACTAAGAGGTTCTCCAGTTCTGAACCAGTCCGTGATGGCCACGATGAAGATGGTCAGCAAGCTCGCCACGCTGGAAAGGACGGGGCTCGTCAGGCTGATCAACACCAGGAAGCTGCCTGCGAAAGTGGCGTTCATGACAACACTGGCGAGGAGCATCCAAGCAGTGTAGCCTGTGGGCAGGGAGAAGGTCTCAATGCCAGTCCAATGGAGGATAGGCAACGGCACCCAAAGGACTGTGAGAGTGAAGGCGCCAATGCAGGAACCGAACGTGTTGGCGAAAATCATTCCGCGGCCAGGGGTAACGCCGTCTGGCGGGCAAGCAAAGCGCTTGTAGAGGACCTCGTACAGACCGTAGAGCACGGAGCCGATGCCGATGACCAGGTTGCCAGTCAGGCGCTCGCCGGCTTCCTTCTGGTGCGCCGCATCGTCGTCTCCGGGACTGGTGTCGCCATAAGCGACAATGAGAACGCCGGCGATAGCGACGAGCACAGCCATGGACTTGTCGAGGCGCAAAGGCTCCTTCAACAGTGGCACAGAGAATACGTAGGCGAAGAACGCGGAGCAGTTGTAGATTGCCGTCAAGTCGGAAGGCGTCGTCAAATTGACTGCGACATACCAGCTGAAGCCAGCAATAGTCAGAGCGGTCGTCACGAAGGCTGTAGTTCTGATGAGGTACAGCAGCGGCGACTTGCGCGAGAGCGAGTTGGGGCGTGCCCAGTCCAGGGTCTGATTCTGAACCATGATGGCGGTGCTGTGAAGCAGCTCGCGGTGGCGGCGCCAAAAAGCAGGCCAGGGAACGTTGCGCTTCTGGATGCGCAAAATCAACAACTGGACGGGCCAGAGTATAGACCAAGAGCCGTGGGTGAGGTAGAGCATGCAGTATGCCTTATTCCAGCCGAGCTCCTGCTGAATATACGCCGACAACTCGGTCTGGATAACGAAGGAGAACAAGCTCAACACGAGGAAGAAGGCAGCGTAAATGTACTTCTTACGCGCGTTGGCTTTGGCTGTTGAAGGAGAGTGTGCGCGAAGCGTCGAGCCGCGGGAGAAGGTCGGTCGGTTAGGGGTCAGCAAGGGGCTGCCACCTCTCGAGCGAGTGGAATAGCCATGGCGCTCGTCGTGAAGGTGATCGTCGTCGTCGGATTTTGGCTTGAGGAGAGGCTGACCAGAGCGAGAGTCGTGGTTCCGGAGGAGGGGCGGGCGTCGGTGAGTGTCACTCATGGCGTCGTCGTCGTCGTAGTCGTGTTTGAAATAATCGTCGTCGCCGTTGCGCAATGCATCAAATTCGGCCAGGCGCTGGTCGAGCCCGGGGCTCAGTCCAGGGCTACTGGTTCCGCTACCTATGTAATCGGAGATGTTGGATTCGCATGTGGTCGCGCTCGGCAGAGCAGGCGACGGATGGTTGGAGTGTCGTGGTGAACGATCGAGTCGGTGGTT